GTTGGGTGGGCATGATGCCCGGGGGATTTGACAGTCCCCCATGCCCAGGAGAGAGAGAGAGAGAGAGAGAGTGTGTGCCGATCCCTGTAGCTGTGCTGAACAAGGGAGAGAGAGAGTGAGAGAGAACGAGCGACCCAGAAAAAGGGGGGGGGGCCCTATCGGCCAGGGTGCTTCGAACGTTCCCTTAGCCCTGTGGAAGAAGAAGAGCGCGAGAGAGAGTGGGAGTGAGAGAGGTCGGTCGTGCCGCCGTGCCCCAACAGGAGGCTCGCCGCCCCTCAAGCCTAGAGAAAGCAAGAGAGAGAGCGAGAGAACAACCGAAGGGGGGCGCCTAGGCGCGGGTCTAGTTCGCTAGACCTTTCCCCGCGGAAGGAAGGAAGGAAAAGAGAGAGAGAGAGAGAGTGGGGGCTGTCTGCTTGCTTGTGAACTCAACTTGAAACCTGTCCTTCAAACATTTTTGCACATTGCAAATGATTGATGAAGTGACGCATATTTGGTTTGCTGTTGGCCTGCTGTGTTCCGTGGTGATGCTTGGTGTCCTTTTTCTGCGAGCACTCCATCTATTGTGCATGCAACATAATGCTATCGGCACCCGCAACAGTCGGGGGCGCGCAAGCCCGCGGGCAGGGGAAACCCCGGCCCACAACCCTGGCGAAAGAAAGAATGGGGGGATTACCGAGCGCACTTTTTCACACCTGGTCCGTGTGCGCAACAAACACTGGGATGCGGCCGGGGAGCCTTACTCGCTCCTTTGCCCCTGTGGAAGAAGAGTCAGGGCACGAGCCAGAGCGAGCATGCCGACCCCGCCACTACCGGCCTGACTGGGATGATGGCTTCACGTTGCGTGTCACGGCCCGCGTCTCTCTCTCGCGTATCACCCGTGCCGACTGAGAGAGTTTCGCGGGCATCGATGTGCATGTCCAATCCCATCCTGAGATCATCAGGTGGAGCCGTGGCCTCTGGCCACCAGATCGCTCGATTCGGCGATGAGGTTGTAAGGGGTACCGGGTAACAACTTGGCTTCTGTGTTGCCTGCACGCTGCGCTGCTGCGTCCCTTCCTCCCCTCCCCTTGCCTGGGTTTATGTGCTTTCAGCACGGCCTGGTGATTTGTGCTGCTGTTGTCGCAACTACCTGACGATATTAATTAGGTTGCTTGATTTCAATCTCTAACGCACTTGGAGCAAGCGCACCATGACGCACCTCTAGTTTTGATTGCAGATGAGATGCCCAGCCCCAGCAAAAAGGTGAGTTGCACGAGCACAGGCAGACATGAATGGGGCACTCGGATTCGGACATGTATGCGTGAAGGGAGCCGTTGTCAAGTCCTTTAAATGCAGCTGTGACAGTCACGAGCCCAGGGCAATCAAAACTCAGCTGAAGCTTGCTGCGAAGTCCGAAACGGTCCTGAGAAGCGAAGGATGATGTGCACCCACCTCCCGCTGGCCTGACAGGAGGCTCCTCAACATTAGCATCATGACAACTAAATATGGGTCGAATCGCCTATGCTCGCTTCCCGGCTGCCTGACGGTCGCAACAACTCCGGACAGCGAAGCCTCGAACAAACACAGTATGCACTGAACACAAGCTCCATGTGCCTCTTTTCCCAGAGGTGCCGGCAAAGCCCGAGCACGCCCGAGCCACTGACGCTCATGATGGTTGGCAGAGACAGGTAGCAAGGCATGTCCCAGAGGCCCAAGACAGCGATTTTCTGCAAACCTGGTGGGGAATCCACGTCCCTCCCCAACCCATCCCAACACCCTCTGTTTTCAATGGCTTGTGCCACAGATATTCAAGACTTCTCAAGCCCGATCCGCACGAGAATGCTCTGTGCCAGCAAGAGCAAAGCTATGAAACCTCTGCAGGCACGAAGCCGGTGAAGTACCCCAGTACGTATCTGTCCGCCGTGTGAGCGGAATCCATACGATATATATATATATATATACATACAACTTTATATGTATATACATAATCATATATATATATACATATATATATATATATGTATATATATATATATATGTGTATATATATATATATCTATATCTATATCTATCTCTCAATATATATATATATATACACATATTGATATAGGCTCTTGACAAAGTGCTAGGAGGCACAAGCAGTTTTGACAAGAGGTCGGCGCTCCAGGCGATAATGATCGTGGCGACGACAGTGGGGCTGCTTACGTGCCCTGGCACGGTTTTGCAGACTGACAGTGATGAAACCTAGAGTTACTTGGATAATACTTTCCATCTCTCGATGATGTTAGCCATTTCGTTTGCCATTCTGCGCCTTGAAGGTATTTGTCCGCAAAGCGAACACTTTTGCGGAGCAGGCGTCGCAGTTGACAATCACGATTGGAGAAGAATCGCCACATGCACGTCTGTCAAGTTGCAGGCCAAACTTACCGCTGACGATGGCTTTCGGAATTCTTTCTTCGGCAACAGCGCGAGCATCTTAGAAGAGCACTTCTGATGCAAAGGCAAGCCAGACAATGCATTCGGGTCGTGTCAACTGCATAGGTAGCTCTGACACTGAGCTATCGACACACCTACTAGTCCTCAAAAGATCTGAGCCACGCTAGGATTTCCTGACCAAGGTTAGCATTGCAGGTACAAGGATTTTGGTGGGGGCATACCGCGATGGTTTGAATGGGAAGAAGGACCTACTCAGGGCCTTTGTCTGCTTAGGATGATCAGGCCTGTCACCACTTGTTGTTTCTTGGCATGCAGGACAGCGGCTCAGCGTACGTGTTTCGGAGAGATTTGGACGCACCACAGCTGCACACTAGCTCGCTGATCCACATCTGCATGTTCCTTGAGTTATGAGCTTTTGACAGGGTCACTGTCGTTCTATGTCATTGCGAATTGGGTGGGTGTTCAAGCTTCGCATCAAAAGCACGCAGAGAGATAAGAGGTGAGCTCGTCCAATCCGACCTGTCCAGTGTCCACACGGAGCCAGCACTCTCTCTTCCCTACCTGCACAAAATGGCAGTTGCCACTTCTGAAGTCGTGGCTTCTGAGGTATGGGAGCAGGAGGCGAAGCTGTCTCCAGAGGACTCCCCATGCGTAAAGTTTTAGAAGTGTGAGCCAATTGCTGCTGACCTGGCTCAGTGACATTGCGCAAGAAGACGAAATTGCAATTGTTCGCTTTTCCATTCGGTTGCACGGCAGTACTCTTTATAGTAGAACAGTTCAGGCTTACAGGTAAATTTCGAAATCTGACATGTCTCGAATTGGAGGATGCTGTGGAGAATGAACGGTTTGGTTCGAGGCCAGGGAACATGAAGAAGCGGTCCAACCTGCTTACCCGAAACCCGAAACCTCGAAATTTATGGATGCTCTCTCTCGGAAGCAGAGTCTTGTGCATGCAGGGTCAGCCTTTTCGGAGACCTGGCTGTAATCATGTCGGCCGGGAATGCCGCCAAGAATGTGTCGGCGGCCATCTATCTCTTTCATGTGAAAGGGAGAAGCTGGGCTGGCAGCTGAGATGAGCGCTTGCAATTGGGTATCTGCACGTTTGTTTTGTGACGGGAGGGGATGGTCAGTGGTGACCGCCGAAGGTCCTCAAGGCCAAACTGGCATCTCCCAAAACTGCCGCACACTCGGAGAATCTCTGTCTTTTGATTTGGTTCGTGTCCGTGGGTTGCACCTCACATCTTTCCCCAAATCTCACACGCCGAGTTGACGAATACCTCCAAATTCGGGTCCAGCCTCAGCCAGAGCGCCGACACCATAATGATTGGCGCCGAAGAGGACCGCCGGCCTTGATGTCTCGTGCACCGTGGAAAAGGGCCCTTTTGCCTGAGGACGACGTGAACGGTAAGGCCAGTGGGGCGGTATACGTATACAGCTTCAACGGGACAAACTGGTCAGAAGCTCGGGCAGTCGCAGTGTGTTCTGAGTCGGAAGCTCGGGCTTGCCAAAGTTCCTTTTGCGAGAAACGTGTGAGAAGTTCAGACTCCAGGATCCAAGCAGCTGGCGTATAGCCCCAGGCCAACTTCACACTTGCGCTCATTGTGGCTCAAGCTGCTACCCTTACCCTTTCTGTTCTCGGGTTGCTTACAGTCCGATGTCGATTTGATTGGATCATCTTACGTGGAAGGCAAGGTCGAACCGCAGCTGCAAACACGGCAAAGGCGGCATCCTGCAAGATGCTCTTCGAATTAGGCAGCTCGTAAGGAGGGCATTGGACCCAAGCCCAAGTGGTGCCCTCCCACATTCGGCATGCATTCTAATTTCACCAAAAGCCGCTGCGCTTCATCTGGGGGATGGTTGAAGAAGCACGTCCCAGCATTCCCGAGCTTTGGAAACATGACGGCAGATGATAAAGCCATCAACTCCGACCTGCTTCTTGAAGGGAAGGAAGAATCTGCGAGTCTTTGTGGTGACCGTCACAGAGATTGGCACCAATCTGGTTTGCAACAGCATGAACGCCGCTGCTCTGGCACTGAGTCTAGAAAACGCCAACAATGCCCGACAACATATTTCTAAACGCTTGGACCGGCGATAGGAAGAGGCCCTGACGGCAGCTTTTTTGCACGAACATGGCCGGAAACACCTTGTGTCTAGCCTTGAATGTAAAATTGCTGCTTTCGGATTGTGCGTTTGACGTTAACCCGAACACTTTAATCCTGAAGACCCTTACAGTTACAACAAGAGTAGACCTTGGACCTTAACCGTGACACCTCTAGCAGTTCGCCGTTCACCGATAGCCGCCCCTTTGCCCAGTAAGGACACAGGCGACGCCTTCAACTTTCGCCAATCACAGCCTAAAAATGCATGAAGGGCCACGAGGTTTCTACGCTGTCGCCGTAGGGAGTCGCTCCAAATCTGCGTCCCTTTCCGTTTTATTGATGGGTTTAGGGTCCTACTCTCGGGTTTTTCAAAATGGGCTGAAGAGCTGTTGAAGATGCTGTGTTTAGTGAAGCTCCTAGGTTTGAGCCCCCAGCCCTGGCCCTGACTTCAAGCCCTCAAAATTGAGGCTTGAGTTGCTTTCGGATTGAGGAGTAGTTGGTTTTCGGAGCTCCTGCCCCCAAACCCTAAGCTCCTGGGTTTGGAACCCTAAATCCCAAACCCTCGCGTCGGGAAAGCCTCAGCCCCAGCCACGTTCTTGTAGAAAAAGGGGCCCAGCATTTAAAGCAAAGCTAGATGCGCTCTCCTTGGCCCTGCAAAAAGCCGAGGCAGCGGCCAAAGGAGCCCTCCTTGCCTGAAAGCGAGGCCTGCCTTGGCCAATTCAGCAGAAGGGCGGCAGCCAAAGGTTCAGGCTTCCACCACACGCCTCCCGGGTAGGCAAGGACACGTCCAAGTTCATCCACCTCGCATCCGCCGTCGTTCTAGCTCACACAGCTGGGATCCAGTGGTATGTTGAGCAACTCCTCCGTGGTTCTCAAAGGCCGCGAAGTGCTGGAGCGATCAGCGCTGTGGGTCCACAAAGTCCGGGCACAGGGCACATCCAAGCTCGGCCATAGGTTGTCAAGATGTCGGTTTGCAGAGCTCCCTCTGCTCTTCGAAACAACGCGTGGCAAGACCTTCCGATTCCAGAGCCTGTGCTTGATTCATCGATGTAGTATGATGTAGTCCTCGGTTGCAACTTGCGGCTTCATCCACATCCTTCCGCCGACTGGCTGAATCAACCGACGACCATACACACTGTCAGAGCTCGGGAAGCTTCGCTTCGACAGTTGTTCTCGACATGTGCACACATTGGATCCGTCTATTGCGCCCCCCCCCCCCACTTATTTTTTTTAATTTTTAAATCTCGCCCCATTCAGAGTAGTTCAATGTCAATTGGTCACACATGACCTTCTCGAAGGGTAGCTTACGAGTGCTCCACTTGCACAGCAGCGGGTGCCTCTGCAATCGCTGAGCCTGCTGGCGCTTGGCCGAATGAAGCGGCACTTCAGACAGCTCAAAAGTCTGCTGGACTTCGTAAAGAAGTATGACGGGTTAGGGACTTCGCATGTCTGAAGGTGAAAGTCCTGCAGCAGAAATTCTCGAATGCAAGCACTTGTGGACCGAATGCGAGCACTGCCGCACTGCTGAACGGCTTATGTTAGCAGTGCATACACTTTGAATTTTGGTGATGATGATGATGATGATGATGATGATGATGAGGGCGATGGTTTGTGAACAAAGATGGTGATCAGCAAGTGCTGACGGTGACGATGATGATGCCGCTGCTGATGTCAGCTGCGCTGCTGCTGTTGCTGTTGATGATGACGTTGAGGTTGAGCAATGTGGCTGTCATATCGTCTTGTGATTGAGTGCATTGGTTTCGCCTCTAGGATGTCAGCCAGGATGCTCAGTAGCACCTGTTCTATATGCTCTTCCGAATATTATGGCCCTTATGTCTGGACTGTGCGCTAGTCGCCGAACTATGCTGGTGAACATTCAGCCTATGTTAGCATGTCCACTTTTGTTTACGAGGCCCTAAACCTTGTGATCTAAAAGGTAAACCCTCGACCGTCAACCTATACACGCCAAAGTCTGCAAACCGTCTGAAGATAAACCGCCCCTTAAAGGTTGAAGACTTCCGTCGATCCGAATCGAAATCCTGAGCCCGTCGCATGCGTGAAGTGGTTACTTCGCCGAGCAGCGAGCTCGTGTTGCGAGTACTGAGGTCTCAACCCATCAGGCTCGTAGCGAACGACACAGCGGCGGGAGATCACTTCGGCTGCAGCGTTAGCTTGCTGGGTGCTCGGTTGTGTTGTAAGCCCTGCGATGGAGGAAAGCTGATAGAGATGCCTGAAGCCAGATCCCGTTGTCGCGACGCTCTCTCATTGAGTTTGGGAATGTTTGGAGTCTTAGGTCGGAGTCTGGTAAGACTTGCATCGTCGGTGCTTATGGTCATCGTACCAAAGGAAAGCTGAGCGCTCAGATGCCGACTCTGTGAAGCTGAAGCTTGTGGGGGTCCATTTCAGCTGCACGAAGTCGAGCACAGGGGCAGCGGTGCGGCGTACGTCTTCAAGCGGCAAGAGGGGTGCCTTGCCAGAACAAGGTTTCGGAAGTCATGGCTTGGTCACTGAAGTCCTTGGGCGAGACAACACCAGCCACATGCCTCGAGCCTTCGCACTAAGCCGTTTTCACCACATTCCTATATGGCCCTGCCAGAGTCTCAACCGCGCCACAGTGACAATCTCACTGCAGTCTTCCTCGAGCCATCATTTTCTTCAGGGGCTCTGCTCCGTATGTTGCGGGATGTTGCGGTTGCGTGTACTCATAGGTCTGGGGGCACGTCCACGTAGTGTTGCATTTTGTGTTGTATCTTGAGCGCTGCCAGATCTGTTGGGCTTTGATGCAAGGTCATGTTCAAGCAGCAAACGATCCATCTGGTTTTAAGTCTCTGCACCCGCCAACATCACCTACTGGCATCTATGGAAGCAGTGTCGAAGTACAACTGACATCACTTGGAGGATCTTGGAGGCAAGTGTTTCTGTCCTCCCCAAGGCGATGGGTGCAACAGCAGCAGCTGGCCTCTGAGGCACGTAGGGACAAGTATGGGTTGGACCTAACAGAAGCTGTCTCCGTGGCACAAAAGTGGGGTCGATCCACAACCGGAGCCTGCCAGAACAGCATGGCATGCGATTCAGTGCGCTGCATGTTCTGAACTGCAGCATCAAATGCGAGGTAGTGTTGCATCAAGCCCTTGACAATGCTACAATCTGCCCTTTATGCAGGACCTTGATGCAGACGACGGCTTCGGAAAAAGCGTCAGCACTTCTGATTCCATAGCCGTGCCTGCCAGTTTACAGCGCAGATTCAGTCGAAGGTGTCAAGCCTCCAATTTTCACCATGTTGTGCTTCAAGATCGTGTGAGGAGATTCGTGCATCGAAGCAGCCTCGCAATAGGATCCAGCCATCCTACCTACTCCGATTCCACAAGCGGCACATTTAGAGATACGGCAGGCCGCAATCGGAGCGTTCGGCGACGAACACGGTGGAGTTGACCGAAGTGGTTCGGCGTACATCTTCATTTATGCAGGCACTGCGTCGAGTGCATGCCAACTGAGCATCGATCTCTGCAGTTCTGGTGAGCACCTGTTGGCTGCGACGGCCATGTTTTGTGCAGGCCGCAAGTGGGTGCAGCAGAGCAAGCTGGCGCCACAGCAGGCCACGTGAAGCTTGCTAGGCTGCATGCACAGAGTAGAGAGATCGGGACTGGACACGGCAGACCAGACTTCTTCTAGCTCCCGCCGGAGTTAGACAGCTTTGCCTCGACTGAACCAGCCGAAATGACAGCAGGCCAAGGCGGGTGCCGAGTTTGGCAGCGTCGGGAACTCGGGAACTCCACTTCCGGCTGTCGTAGCTCATGGGGTACTTGGCGGTGCGAGAACAACGAAAGCCGCTTAAGGTCGCAAGCATATCTGGGCACATGGCAACCTTCTCTACCAGCGCTGAGCAGGCCTCCTCTTTTTCGCGGATCCGATTGGCAAATTGGCAGTCGCATCCAAGCTGACTTCCGCGCTCAGGTGTTTGTTTTCCCGGCGTATCTCACCCAGGCGGAAACTCCGAGCACATGGAGCCTAGCATGCTGACAGCTGGTGAAGGGTATTAGGATGGGTGCTTGCAGGTTTGTCCCTCAACACAGCATTGAGACATGGCTGGAGGACAGGGCTGCGCAGGGTCTTGTGCTGTTTGCCTGTGTCGCATTGCTCCGCTTTCGTCTCGGAAGGTCCACGTATGGCTGTGACATCTGAGATGCATCAGTCGTACCTGTTTAGGCTCTTGGAAAGAACCTCGTGCACGAAATCGGGGTCACCTGCTGGTGTCTGCTGGTCCTATAGTAACCTAAGCACAGCTTTTGACATGTTTGGACCTTGCATAGTGCCCCGCTTTGAACAATTCGCATTGGCAAACGCCGTAAATGCCTTTTCAAGCTGCCTTCCTCGGCAAAGCTGTTCGTTGTGGACGACACGTCGATCAGAGATTCATCGCCAAGTCGTTGCTCTTCAAAGACTAAAGAGCTGCCTGGACGAGGATCATCGAACAGCCGTAAACTGAGCAAGGCAGTCGAGTACAGGTTCCGCATCCTGGCGAGTGTTGCAGCCGGGAAATGTGGACCCCCGCAAGGGTGGCTACGCAAGGCTACGCATAGTAAGCATAGATCACAGTGGGCGGCTCGCCGTCTCGCTGTCTTTGAATTTGGCCCTTCCTTCCGTGTCGTTACTGCTGTTTCTCATATGTTTGCGTGTCAATTGTGGTCTTTATAACATGGATGGGCTGTGTCGGGAATGCTCGCACCTCCATAGACCTCACATTCGCTTTGGCCGGAGGAAAAGCTTTGCGAGCACGTATCGCGAGCGAGATCGTTGGATGTGCACGTAGTTTCATCGGAGAATCAGATACCGAGAGTCTGTCAATTAGCTTCCGAACTTCTCAACCTTTATGAGCCGAAATCGAAAGGAGAGCCCACAAAAGCTGAATATGCTACTATTTTGAAGCAGAAGCAAGGCTGCAAATCTTAGTTGGAAGCTGAAGTACAGCCTTGCCACTAGAGCCAGCGGCGCAAGCAAACTGCAGCGAGTGCGCATATGGCACACAGCATCTCGTCGCCATGCCCATTGATGTCAACTGGCTACGTGCTGACAGGCCTGCCCCTGACGAAGTCTTTACAATTTCCTGCCAAACCAATTGCCGTGCATCGGCTTACCATGTCCTCGATCCAAGGAAATCTGTGATCTGTTGACATCGAATCAAAAATGCCAGGTCCGGTGATCCACATCGTGTGCGGCAAGCACAACACAAGCGCTTCAAGCCGAATGCAGATACGCCATTCGGCTCCGAACAAGCCGATGTCACAACTCGAGACTTTGACCTCCTCGTCTGTGAAGCTACTTCAGCTCCTCAGAGCACTACTCACCCGACCGTGATCGTCATGGCTGGTACTATCGCAAACTGCCTTAACTAGCACCAACAGCAATGATGATGACGACGGCGATAAGGCGGAGGAGGATGAGGGTCGGGGCCAGGATGATGATCGATGCTGCTGCTGCTGAGCTGCTGAGGATGATTCGAGTGAGGGCGATGGCCGACGACAGCGGCGACGGCCCCTTTTCGACAGCCTGATGACGATGATGGTGTTGGTGGTGACTATAGTGATGATGGCGATGGCGGGAAAGGATGATAATGCTGAGGATGCCCCTGGGGATGTCACTTTTGCTGCTGTCGCTGTCTTTGCTGCAGCCTTCAACGGTCAAGCTGATGCCCGATGCTTGCGGGCATGGCGAGAATGAACGCAACAGCAAGAGCAGTTGCCATGACGAGCATCGCAGACGAGCCTGACATCATCAAAACTACAATCATCAAGCTCACCACCGCCCTGACAACCTAAGCCGCCACCCCCACCAGGACCAGCGTCAGCCGCGGGAGCAGCAGCAGCACAAGCAGCCGCAGCAGTATTCGTAGCGGTGGTGGATGAAGAGGTAGTAGTAGTAGTAGTAGT